ATGGAAACTGTGCTGTTTCCGTGCACTAATAAAACGTCTAAAATACACAAGGAGACGGGGCTCGGAAAATATGAAGAACATTTTCTCTGTCATGATTAGACAGAAAATATTTAATGTAATATGTTTTGTATTAGTGTGAGAGTCAGGTTTCACTATACCTAACAAATGTTTTGTTTAGCCTTTTAGTAATACGTCACTTTTTAGGTCTAAAGAATGTCGTTGCAACAGGTGGAAAAAGGTTTCTGACACTATCACACTACAACCTGGACGTGGGGAAGTTTTTATCTAACAATACAAACATGTATAAGATGCCAGTCTTTGCTCAGAAGAAAGGGTAAGTTTTTCTTAGGAACAGGGTAAAAAAAATATTTAAAAATGGCTTGAAAAATGCCCAAACCCCTTAGGTTCCCTTGCAACTAACTGTTCAATAACTTGAGTGAGTATAAAGAGCACTCAAGAGATCTAAAAAAGAAATGGCACCAAACGGTTGTGGCCAGAGCTCATTTGAAATAAACCGAGGTGAAGTTAAAAATAGATCGTAGTCCAGTAAATCAAAACTCGTCACTCTGTGTCCTGAAGGCTCACAAAGAAGGAACAGTCCTGCTTATTTGAACAAGAACAAAACCTGTAAACAAAATGTTGGTTTAATAAGAACATATGTTGCCAGTTACACTTTTTTATGGAACATCTGGGCCAACCATTCTCTTCACATAAAGGCCTGTTTCCTGTCGAAGTGCATATCGCCCGCCGCCTTTCATGCAAGAGTTTAAGATGATGGTTATTTCATGTGGAGAAATGATGGTGTTTCAACGGTTTTTGCTCACACTTAAGTTATGCACAATATCAGTGAAATGTCATGCGTATGTGTTCAAAATGACTGAGCTACTACCACGCCAAATCTTGTGTTTTTACTTGTAAAATAGACGGAGTTATAATTATTATTGTGTTGGCTAATGTCAGTTATCTGGGAACCATTTTTAATTGGATTGACTCCAAACGGGAGATCATGCAATGATTGCTTTATAAATGTTTCATTAAGCTCCGTGAGATATTTTGCTCACAGACACAGGCTAAAACATTATCTCCCACCGTTGGTTTTTGGAAGCAGGCAGTAACACCAAAAATGAAAGGCCTTGAGAAAACTACTTTACTCCTTAAACTACAGATTTGTTAGAAAAACTTATTATTGTGCTGTGTAGCAAAAATACATTTTGGGTAAAAATACATCTATTTATTCTCCTCCTTCATCTCTCCCTTTTCTTTCCTTTTTTTTTTTTACATGTCGTCCCTGCTGTTCATAAAGTAATCAGCATCTGGGTCAAAATAACATTTCTTTTTGTTGTGACACAGCTTTACACAGGAAATGAGATGTCTAAAAATGGGAAACAACATCAGAACGACCTTGTGGAGGGAGGAGACGTGCTTCACCGGAGCTTGTGTGAGACAGTCTCATTAGGGAGGGTAACCCATTGGAAATAGAGGTCCGTGGGGGTTGGGGACACGGACGGAGACTGTTGCTGTGTAAGTGAGGAGGATTGCAAACAGTCAGTGTGGCGGCAGTCTCCAGGGGCTGCTGTGTATCAGAAACTGGTTGAAGGCTGCTCGTAAACGTAACTCTGCGATCTTAGTTTTCCATGGCAGGGAGAGACGACTCCGTCTACAGAGGTCACCAGGAGGTCATGTTTATCTCCCACTGCTGAAGGCAAAGACAGAGCAAGATGTTTTTACCCATGTCTATGTATGCGTGTGTTTGTACCGATTGCAAAATACTTCACGAATCACTGGACGTAATTTAATTAAACTTTCAGAATTTAATCATTGGATGTACATCTAAATTAGATTCAAGATGGCTGTCACAGCAACGTGGTCTTAGCAAACACAAAAATGTCTTTAACTGAGTCACTTTTACAGATATGTGGTGCGGTGGTAGCTGAGAGTCGTTCACAACACACACTTGGAGTGCTAACAGATTATGTGAGATATGACAGAAGACTGTTACTTTTAAGGTTTGACCAAAAAGACCACAGCACTATCATTTTTCAACATAAGGTGTTCTTATTCTAAAATACTGACATGAAAAGCAGCAGGTGAAATGCATTATTGTAATCTAATGTACTGAAGTGCAACACGATTCAGTTGTTAATACTCTAACTGTCTCAGATGTTCAAGTTTGAAACATTTTGTGATTTCTCTAGAGAATAGCTAAATTCATGCATCAGAAGCACATATGGAGCAACATGTGTTTAATTATGAGCTGAGGAGGTAAAGGTGAAGAAAGTGAGCCAGGATCTACAAGAATCAATTAGTTCCTCTGTACACGCTTTTTCAATGACCGTTTCCTCTGAGAAGTTTGTTTTTAATTTGGCTTCGGAGTGTCCTAAAACAGCAGTGCTTCACTTTATTTTTTCCAGTGTGGACTCTGCTGGGCAGTGTTGGGTGTGTGGCATGATAAATAGAGATGTTCATATTTACGTCTGTTTCTGCTCAGCCTGCAGACGGATCTGTCCTGGAAAAGTCCATGTGACCCAGAGCTGAGGAGCTGCTGCTGCTTCCTCATCCTGTTAAATGTTAAAAAGGAAGTATGTTGGTCGGGCCTGGAGGGCAGTGTGTTATTTAAAATGCAGCCCAGTTAAAAACAAATCACAGGAAATGCTATTGTACTCTCAAATTTGGAGTCATTTGGTCAACGCAGCTCCGTAACTTCCTCATGCTTTTTAGATAAGCCACCCCAAATGCTGTTGTGATGGTGTCTAATAGGTTTGACTAGAAAAACAAAGACATTGACTCTGTTTAAGCAAATGTTATTTAACTGTCCAGCTGCTCTGGAGGAGGACAGGAAGTGGACGTTTGTGGTTTTGAGTAAATAAACAGGGAGACAAAAGATGGCCAATAAAAATCTTCACAAATAATTAACTTTGTCAAATCTGAAATGTTTCCTTAACAATTATCACATCAGACTTTTAATTTTATTTCCTGAATTTTTTTTTATAAGCCATATAGTGGTTCATGAGACATTTTGCTAACAGACAACGTTGACTCCAAGTCTTGTATAATTGGTCAGGTTTTCAAAATGTGATGGGGAGCACTCAGCTACTACCACACTCAATTTTAGGCCAATATCTAAACAAAGTTTGAACTATTCTGCTGTTTTTCAGTGCAACCAAAAATTAATCTGCTATAAATGCATGAATATGATTAATTTCTGGAAGATTATTTAACACTTTCCTCGATGGTTCAAGAGATATTTTGGTAACAGACCCACACAGTCAGGCAAAAAATAAACAAGTATCATCTGCATTCATCTTTTGGCGGGGGACGATAATATCTGCAAAGTTAACACTCATCAGAACGTTTCATGATTTTTATGAAAGTCTAAAATGTAGGTTTTAAAAAATATATATACAATTCCACCCCGCTATTTGGTTTTTATACCTTTTATAATGTGTTTTGTCTTTCCAGTGGAAGGGTTTTTCTAATGGCGACTTTAAGCCATTGAGGTGTAAGAAGTTATACCTGTGGGATGAATAAAAGAAACGAGGACATCAATGTTCAGAAAAGACTTCATTTTAATTCAGACTTTAGTTCTTGGCTGGAAAGATTCAATCTGCTGGCACTAAGAAAGGAATGATGGGATTCGTTTCATCCCTCCCTCCTATAAATTCATTAAAGGCTGCACAGAGGAGTGGAGTTGTTATTCAGAAAGGATCATTATGTAATCCAACCTCTGGTGTTAGCAAAGGGACTCGTACTGTAAAGCTGGAAATAGTTTTTCTTCTGTGTCATACGTTTTCCATTCCTCCTTCTTCCCTCAACGCCCACACATCGTTTTTTTCTATCCATCCCACTCACAAGTTCCCAGATGCAAGTAAAAGATTAACTCAGGTTTTATCCAGCTTTTGTTTTACATTTTAGCAGAAATAATATTTGCTTTTTTTATTGCAGTGTGAAAGAAACATGTTAAAAATGGTCCAGCTCCTCCAATAAAATAAGTGTTAAACTGGTTGGGATTATTTTAGAGATGAACTCCCAAGATGCTGATTCGTAATCAGTTCTTCATTGATAAAACCAGTATTTTTTTAATTTAGTAAATATTACCTCTTCAGTTGTTTTTCTTTAGATTTCATGACCTTTCCACTTTCCAAAACTCATTACTGTGTTTGCTTCTTCCTGCACAAGGTGTCCCAGTTAATACTAATAGTTTATTCTGGGTGTGCTGTTTATGCATCTCATGAGAATACCTCTGCATACATGAATACACCCAATTTGTGGAACATACTGTAACCATGGGAACACAATTTAGGAGAACCACACAAACCAAAGGTGAATAGGCCCAGGTGGCTAAATGCTTACTGGCTACCGATTGTGCTCTGTTTTATTCTGTAAATAAATTCCATCTACGCAAATTAAATTAATTAACAATCTGGCCTTTGGAGGAGCAGATTATTAAGGAAGTGAACATCTGTCCCTCCCAGTAACAGCAGTCAGCATCAGGCTGACCTTTTGGAAAGTTGCTTTATTAAGAATTACGAGGCCCCGGGGTACATGTCCTTTTGCCAAGCAGGGCAGGCTTGTTGAATTATCACTGAGCCGGAGGGTTAATACTGTATCCACGGAAACAAGACCCCCCCCCCCCCCCCCCCCCCCCCCCCCCTACCCCCCCCCAACCCCCCCCCCCCCCCCCCCCCCCCACACACACACACACACTACCACCACCATCACACAATCTGAATTTCCTGACGACATCAGAGCTGAAGTCTTTGTCTTTTACAGTCCATGAACAACTCATCTATTGTGACTTTCTCCCTCAGCTTGGAAATAAATACATACAAACTTCAGTATGTTTAAATGAATTGTTGCTAAAAACTGAGAGGGATAATTGAGCCCATGAATCATTTATGAAATTCACACAAGGATATTAATGTGTGTTGTTCCCCTGCAGGAGTTCAGGAAGCCGAGCAGCCTTTGGCGTGGAGAGCAAAGGTGTGGGGAGAGTGGGAAAGTGAGACAGCAGCCTAGCTATCCGCCACCCGCGCCATGGGGAAGCAGAACAGCAAGCTGCGGCCAGAGGTCCTGAACGACCTGCGAGAGAACACCGAGTTCACCGACCACGAGCTGCAGGAGTGGTACCGCGGCTTCCTGAAGGACTGTCCCACCGGCCACCTGACCGTGGAGGAGTTCAAGAAGATCTACGCCAACTTCTTCCCCTACGGAGATGCCTCAAAGTTCGCCGAGCACGTCTTTCGCACATTTGACACTAACGGCGACGCCACCATTGACTTCAGGGAGTTCATCATAGCGCTGAGCGTGACGTCGCGCGGCGGGCTGGAGCAGAAACTACGCTGGGCCTTCAGCATGTATGACCTGGATGGGAACGGTTACATCAGCCGGGCGGAGATGCTGGAGATCGTTCAGGTCAGGACTTACTGCTTTAAAATATGCTTCTGCTCCCATCTAGAGATAAAATGAGACGACATGAGACATGATAAGATTAGATAACACTTTTATGATCCTCTGCAGGGGTAATTTATATAATAAATCAGTAAGATTACACAGACAATAAAAAGGAAAAAGTACAGTTAATATAACAAATATGGCATTAAATCTATATACACAGTCATATAAATTAAACAAAATGGCATAAAATACAGTAATCTGTTTATACAGTAAATACATGTTGTCTTTATTTATTTATTCAGATCATATGACACTTTGACGGTGTTTGTTGTACATGTAGACCTGAGATTCCAGCTGATACACGATAATAATGTTTAATGGTGTAAAAAAAAAGTGAAAAATCATTTTACAACTCAATACATTCTCCATAACTTGCACTATAAACTGCAAAGTTCCTTCACAGTATGGACAAGTAGAGAATGTGATTTTGGTCATTTCTGTCTGGATTAGTTTGGAAAAAAGAAAATGAGGTTTGGAAAACTATTAAGTGTTTCTGAAATCTGCAAACCCTGAAATTAAAGATTAAAAGGAAAATGTTTAGGGGAGCTAGCACCTTTATCATCTCTAGATATCACATTGTTAATTAAAACAAGACAATTATCACAAACTGTTGAGTGGCTAAAACAAATTTAAATTCAGCAAGAATGAACAAGTTATTGCAACAAAACTTCACAAATTAATGCACTTGGATGTTAACTAATAAAGTAAATAAAATTTCAATGAATATATTGGAAGTTTTATGTACCGGTAGCTGTTTCCATAACTTTTTTGGCGTGTTTTGCTGGCATCTAATTCAAATATTATTTTCTGAAACTAATTTATTTTCTTCTTTTTTTTCACAATCGTTAAAAAAAAAAAAAAATTGTGTTTATTGATGTTAAAAAATGTTTCTGTTTTCCTTTAGTCCTACACATTAACAAAACTCTAGGCTTTCCCTATCAGTTACACCAAATAAAAACATTGGAGACCAATTACATCACACAACCAAAGTCTGTAATTGTTTTGTGTTTTTGTTTATTATAACTAATATAAAAGTTACTGATTAACGTCCTCACTGTTAATCAGAATATATATAGTATACAGTATACATTTAGTTACAGATTAAGAATGATTTTAAGGCTGGTAGAAATGTTCAGATGTGAATTTATTTGGTAGTTTTACTCTTTGCTGGTTTTATCACCAGCGTCGTGTTTACTCTTCCAGTGAGACGAGCTGAGCAGGCTGCGGGGCCGTATCAGTGCTGGCTCAGTCCGGTGTGTTTGCTGATCCAAAATGAAAGTGGAAACAAACTCAGCATTTCATGAAAACAAAATTCCCTGATTTTTTCCTGAGTAAATCCTGAAATTCTAGGAGACATTTCAGTCACACAAAACACTCAGATCTAGAGTCGTACACTGGCCTACAGTACAGAAATCATTTGTAATTGTTACTTACATTGTATAGCATCAGATACTAAAAAGCTACCACAGCCAATCAGTAAGGGTACATGTACTACATACACTGTAGAAGCAGAACAAGGAGTCAATACTAGAATACAAGCATTAATACATGCACACACCAAAATCTCAGGAGCATCATCTTTTAATCAGCAGAAGAAGTGTTCAGATTCCCTGAGTTTTCCCTGATTTTTTTAAAGGTTTTCTCAAATTTCCTGAGTTTTTCCTGTCTGGAAAAGGTGAAAGTCATTTTCCAGGTTGTCCCTGATTTCCAGAGTCACTGGGAACCCTGTGTTAGCACACGTTTGATTTCATAGAGCCCATTCTGTGAAACCTCCACATAAATACCCATGGAGGTGTGTCCCTAATACACGTGTGAGGGCAACTTACAGCAAGACGGAGCTGAGCACCATCATTCCTCAGAGCATCAAGACAATACATGGAAGGCATATGTCTAAAGAAACCGGTTAATGTCTATCCTTCTGCCAGAAAGCAGCTGACTGTGCAGACAAGAATAATGTGCACGGCAGTAATCATTATCACCTCTCTTAAAGGCAATTTACAAGATGGTGTCGTCAGTAATGAAGATGCCAGAGGATGAATCCACACCTGAGAAAAGGACAGATAAGATCTTCAGACAGATGGACATTGACAATGATGGTAAGACTAGTGTGATATTGATGTTTTGTGTAGCATATGTGTGTTTTTATGAATGTATATTTTATCTTATAATAGATATTCTCTAAAAGCATCAGGTGGTATGAGACAGTACATCTCACTGACCAGACCGCTCAGCAGGCCCCCACACCTTGATTCAGTCTTTCAGGGCCTGTGATGTCAGTCAGTGACCCACTTGTTCACTCAGCCGTTCTTAAGGTGCTAACAACACAAAACAAAAACCCTATTCAACCATATTTGTTTTGTAATTTTGAACATTTAAGCAATTCAGTTCAGTTTATTTATACTGTACATGTATAGCACCAAGTCACAACAGAAGTTGTCTCAGGGCACTATACAAAGACATTCACATACATTCAAAAACAAATAGTAAAAGTTGTATATCTAAGGAAGCAGATTGTGTTGAATCTTCACAAGCAGCAGCCTAAAATGGTTCCAGTAGTTCAAAATCAACAGGTTTATAAAACGAATGCTTAGTAAAGCTGTGTGTTACAGTTTACTTGGTAATGATGTTTTCTTCTTTCACAAGATCATTTAGTTTAAATGTGTTTGACTTGACTTGAGATTTATAGACCAGACACAGAAAGATTGGACCAGGTATGGTTTCTATGGGAAGAAAAACAGGCTAATGGCAGCAATAATTAAACGTACAAACATGGACCAGAGAGTAAAGGCTGCTGCAGAGTGAGGAAATGTGGTCACATGTCCTACAACAGGAAACCCAAGCCGACCCTATAGGATTTATCAAGAAGGAAAGATGTAAGCCTAATCGTAAAAGTAGACAATGTGTCAGTCTCACAGACAGAAACTGGAAGTTGGTTCCACAAGAGAGGAGCCTGATAACTGAAAGATCTGCCTCCCTTTCTACTTGTACAAACTCTAGAAACCACACGTAAACCTGCAGTCTTGAGAGTGAAATGCTCTGGAAAATATGGGACAATAACATCTGTAATATACAAACTTAAGATGGATCTAGTTTGTTGAGGGCTTTGTAGGTTAGAAGATTTTATATTTAATTTTATTTTATACAAGCCAATAGAAAGAAGGTAAAACTGCAGAAATATGATCCCTGGCAGCAGATTTTTGGGTCAACTGAGAACTTTTTAGGGAGTTTTTGGACATCGTGATAAAGAATTACAACTGTCAGACCTAGAAAAGATAAATACATGGACTAATTTGGAAATTAGTTCTTAAATGCATTGCATTAATGTTGCAAAACTTTAGCCAATAGAAAATACCCTACCTGACTAGAAATACATTGAAATCATTTTTATCTGCTTTCTGTATGATTTTGATGTTAACGTTCATTTTGAAACTGCATAAAAACTAGCGAGGTTACATAAAAATGTCCAACAACATCAACGGGAACGTTTTTGATTTTTATAGTTTTTAGATGTTGCATACATTGCAGGTACTGTGTGTCTGTTACACAAACCCCAACATGAACCGAGCATCAGAAGCCCTTCCTGGGCGGTTGTTGCATAAGTCACTCCTTGATGAGTTCCTGCTGAAAACAAGTTCCTGGTTTCTGCTCCACAGGTAGATTGTCTTTGGAGGAGTTCATTAAAGGTGCCAAGAGCGACCCGTCCATCGTCAGACTGCTGCAGTCGGACCAGGAAGGCCCTCGTCAGTTTTAAAAACAAACAGAAACACACTCCGCATCATGAGCACACCATCGTAAATCCAGCTGTTCCAACACTCCCGTTTACACCGATGTAAATTTCATACCAGTGTGTTTTTTCTGTCTGGACTTTGATGAGCTGTTCCATTTCATTTCTTATTGAGCCTTTCCAAAACAGTTTTTCACTTCAGCTGTTTCCTGTAAGTGAAGTGCCATATTGTATGTTCATACTGGCTGGATTATAAGCTTACAAGTATTAGGGTTACTAATATGTTACAAGAGGAAACTAATTACTTTGTTTCAACTTAATGGTTGAATTGTGGCTAATTGTTTTATCAGGAGCTTAAGTCTTTTTTATTAAGCTCTTTATTTTTTTGATATTGCATGTGCTCCCTGCTCAGTTAGATGTGTTTTATTAGATATTGTGATTATGTGAATAAGGAAACCACAATTGTTTTTATTATTTTTATTTTTGTAACAAAAAATGCATTTTGTTTTCACACAATTGAAATAAAGTCGTGTAAGAAAAATCTACACAAGACGTCCCGCAAAGTCCCATTGTCGTGAACGGACACGACGCAAATCCAACAAAATATTTGATGTACGCCTTTTTTTTGTTTTTTTTTGTTAAGGTAATCAAGTTTAGTCTCATCAAGCTGAAGTGTTATTTTCACAAGTCCACATCTTAAAATAGGTGCTTCAAGACGAGAAGGAACAATGCCTTGGAAAGACTTGACGTGACATTCAGAGCCTCCTCCCCTCGGCTGGTGGCAGCTTCATAAATATGCAGCTGCTCTAACGTTCAGCAGGTTTGTGAAAACAAATTCATCCCAGAGACGCAGGCACACGCTCCCCCTCCCTCCTGTCCCTGTGTGACAGTTTGATGATGTAGAAAAACTGCAGATGTCTCATTTGTCTTTTCTGGAGTATTTCAGTAACTGGGCGACGGCCTCCTGTTTATCCACAGGGGAGGGGAGGCGGGGACACACTGGACCAGACAGATCCTCAACAGTTTGGACTCACAACTCATTCTTCCCAAAGTCGTCATCCAGGTCTACGTCACTGAGGTCATAATCCTCCTCCACAGGAAGCTGGGGGTGACAAAGAAACAGGATGTTTTTAAAAAGCACTGACAGGAATGACCCTACAGGCTTTTCTGAGCATGAGACTCACTTCTCCATCTTTGCCATCCCAGGGTTCGACAGAATAAATCTTGGGCATGACGCCGCCTCCCAGTGTAGCAGTCGAGCCCCGGCCCACAGAAAGCTCCCTGAAATCATCAGGAACTTATTTCCAGCCCTTAACTCACATTTAGGCTTTGAAGCCTCCGCACCAAACAGCAGGCAAAGTGCGCCCCCTACCTGAGGAACTCATGAATGCCCGTTTCACTGAACGAGCCCCTGAGAAGCGCAAACTTCATCTTGCGTACGTTGATGGCAGCCATGGCGGGGTACCCAAATCCACCAATACCCAGAGAGGACTCCAGGTCCATCTGAGCCCCTGCCTCAGTCCAGAGCCAGCTGATGGGAGAAAGAGCCAACCCTCAGAGAACTACAATTTAAATACAGCAGGAATTAAGAACTTGGCCTGAGTCCTTACCCCCACATTTTCTTCTTATACTTCTCAGCCAACGTCTTCATCACTTCCAAGTAACCGTTCCTACCAGCTGCACCTGTTGAAAGATGGTGCGCGCGTTAAGATCCAACAAAGCATTTATGAAAAATTGATTAACTCGTAAAAAATAAAATAAGATTCATTTTTGTTCAAGATCACCATTTAAAATGTATTACACAAATGTGTTTGTTTTTATTTGGCCTAATTTATTTTGTAGGGGCGCAATGTTACATATTTTGCAATACGACGGTTCAGTACAGACGATTCAGACGAGTATGTGAATTTGACAACAACCACGTCAGCCACAGGTGATCATCGTTCCCCATCTAGAAGTGTCTACACATTTCCTTTAACTGCAAGTTGTTAAACCTCGATGGGGAGGGGGAAGGGGGGGGGGGGGATCCCACTTGACAAATGCTGTGACATGGAGACAAAGTCATGTCTGTGTTGCCCGCTGTTTGTGTCGACGGAGACGGCTCAGCTTGAGGGAGACGAAGCGCTACCTGTAGTTTTTTAGCTAGTGCGTATGTATTGTGCCCCACTAGCTTAGCACTACGTCAGTGCTGGCAGTTAACGATTGGGGGGGGCACAGTTCAGTAGGCAGGGTGCTCTGTTCTGTTGACAGGGCGGGGCACCCTGCTTGTGTAATCGTAGGAGAAACTAATTTCACGAGTGGAGTGTTTGCACCCCTCCTCTACAGTCAGTGGTAAATCGATACATTTGCACAAGTGTATTTGGCAATAATGTGTTGTCCCCCCCCGACATGGCCCTCACAAAGCTCTGTAGTTTATCAGTTCTTTTTGTTGCAGTTAACTAATGTTTTAAACTCAATACAAAGTTGCTGCGCGTCATCATCCGTAATAAATCGGTCAAATGTTCTGGCCGGGTTATTAAGAGTTCGGCTGAGCGGTTTCCAAATCGCTCCTCGTTTTTCTTGAAAACAAATGAAAGATGCCACCGAGATTCAAATTTAATGCTTTTTAATGCCATTTGAGGACTTAAATATGACTAAATCCATATAACTTTTAATGCTTTTTAATGCCCTGTACAGTTTATATGTTATATATTTATTCCACTTGTTACCAATGCGGTATGCATCAGTCTAAAAACAGCTTCCAGTTTTTAGGCTCGCATGTTGGACAAAATTTACATCAGTCAACATAAGTTCTCAAAAACATTAGTGACAGGGCCTTAAGGGTTATGTTTACAGTTCAGACTGGATGAAAAATCACAGTAAACGATGACGTTCTTATTCTAAAGTGACAAATCTGCTGTGCATGACCTGCAATGAGATCCTCCCCACTAACAGGTGGTTTGAAAAAATAAATAAAAATAAAACTTTCTGTTAGACCCGTCCATGTAAAGGTTTAAAATACAGCATGTACAGATCTGTGTTGGTCTCACCTGTATCCAGGATGTGAGGCAGGACAGCAATTATACACAGCTGACTGTCATCACAAGTCTTCTTCAGCAGGTCGTCACCCAGAATCTGAGAGAAACGATCAATCAATAATAAATAAAACAAATCGACCAAAAGCTCTGAATAGAACATCTACCTGTCTGGATAGATTAGTTTTTGTGTTCACCAACAACTTACAAATAGCTCAAAACTTTTGATGCGACACCAGCAAACAAACATTCACACTGACCTCCACCAGCTCAGGAGCGGGAGCGTTGTCAGAAAACAGATCCATCGCTCTTTCGATGATGTCGCCACGAGTGCGGCCTCCTTGGTAGTCCTCTGGCTCCTCCCCTTTGCGGAAAATTTTGATCGTGGGAAATCCACGGACCTAAAAAACAAACAAACACTTCCCTTTTATTCCTGTTACAGCATCTACAGACGTGAAGACTAAAAGCAAAGTAAACATTTGAATTTATACCTTTAAAAGTTGGATTTTATTCAGGCAAAGACGACCCGATTTATTTATAAACTACTTCATGCTTGAAAATGGTTTTATTAAACTCGAACGGTTTAGTTGGTTAATTATTTACACTTCAGGTAATATATACTTGGAAACGTTTGTTCAAGTTTAAGTGGGAACATTTTCACAGCTCTCTTGTCCCGTAGAGAAAGGAAGACTTACAGAATCCTTTGACAAAACTCAGTTAGTTCATATTTATAGATCATATTCAAATTCATAGTTGAGCACATAAAGCTATAAAATAAGAGTAGCTATTTGCTAATCCAAGTCAAATTAAAAACTTCTCAGTAGAGCGTGATGTCTTTAAGTAGAACATTTAAAAAGTTAACCATTCAAAAAGGCACTTATGTTAGCTGTGCTTTGATTTAGCTCATTCTCAAAAGTCTTTATCCCGTCTGCTTCTCTGTTCTACGAGTACGCAAACAAGAAATTCCTGTTTGCAATTTGTGTGTCCGACCTTAAGTGCATATTTTTCCACTCACCCCATAGCGGCTGGATATGACCTGATGTACGGTAGCGTCGACAGCGCCGAGGCGAACTCTGCCCTTGGTCTGCTCCTTGACAGCTGTGGCTGCAGCTGTCCACTCAGGCTCCAGGCTGGGCAGGAAAGACGAGAGCAGTAGTAAAAACTTTGATGATTATTTCACAGAACAGTGATTTACAGTGATTCAAAAACAGGAGATTGCTCGTGCAGATTCTCATTCATCAAAAGCATGGCAAATCCCAAAATAAAATTTAAAAAACAAACAAAAGCAGCTGAACCCAAACTGTAGTTGAGGATGTTTTACTTCCCAACTGTGGAACTTTGTCCAATCGAAACTGGATAGTAGGTAGGGATGCATATTGGATTTTTGGCCGTTATCCGATATGTTAAAACTTATTTGGCAGATAACCGATATAAATACAGATATTTTTTAACCTAGACCTAATTAGAGACACAGCTTCCTCTGCTGTGGAATTAAAATACAACATTATTCTACATGGTCTGTCAGTTTGGCCTGCTACCAAATGCAGATGCCACAAAGGCTGAAAATGATGTAACACTAAATAAATATATTTTAAAAAAAAACAGCACCTTTTATATCGGTGAGTTATTTTGATGGAATGTCCCATATTGGCCGATCCCGATACCATGCCAATATCGTGTATCCCTACTGGATGGCGTTCCGATCCAAACTTTAAACTACATTTATTTTAAAATGAGGCTAGCTAAGTTTTTTTTTTAAGCATAACAAAAAAAAAAAAAAGCAACAGGAGCCAAAAGAACTTCAGATGTATCTTCTAGAAATAAGGTCTAGCTGGTTTTAAATGCATAAATGTTATTTTCAAATGTGAAGCAAGCAAGAACTGAATTCAAATGATTTACATTTAAATTACTAGTTTTAATTTGGATTACACTTGAATGGAGGTTGAGCTTTGTGGACCATCCAGAATTACTGGGCCAGTGTTTTTTAAAGCAACAAACCATTCCAGTTTTGTTAAAATAAATTAAAACATAAAGAACTGCCTAATATTAAACATGTCATTGCAGTATTATTGTTCAACACTGCAGCAATTCAACTTGTTCGGTCATGAAACGTTCACCACACTATGCTCTGGCTGTTAAAGCAGTGAGGATCCATGTAATTAACAATTTTTAATTTTCTGCATGCAGTTTTTCCTGCGATTGTTTAGAATAATTTGCAGTAAATTCACGTTATATTGTGCAGCCCTAAAAACAAACAAAATAACTTTTGAGAAAAGCTAAGCAGCTCTTGGAAAGCTTGGATTTCTAGGAGTGGCAGCAGAAATCTCAATGTGACTGCAGAATGAAACGTTCACGATTTGCTGAATGAGGTTCTCTTATTTCTGACTCACTTCTTGCAGTGTCCACACCAGGGAGCAAAAAACTCCACCAGCCACACGTCGTCGCTGTCCAGCACAGTCTTATCGAAGTTGTCGTCTGTGAGCTCGACCACATCTTTCTTGCTGCCATCTCCTCCTCCACTCTGCTGGAAGGTGGTCGTTTTATTTTGAAAAACGGCGTTCACTCATTTCCATTTTAAGCTACTTAGAAAAATGAAACCGATTCCTCCCTCTACCTGCTTGCTGTAGCCAGAACCACCAGACTTGCCGCTCAGTCTCTCCTTCACGAGGCTGCGCAGAGAATTCATTGCTCCGTCCACAATCGCCTGGCTGCTGCGTCCCCCTGCAGCCGAGAACAAAGAGCTCAGATGTTCAGCAGTTAAAAAATATTTACACCTTAATACAAACTCAACTCTAAAAAAGTTTATTTGACACTCCAAGTCTGTCAGAGAGCCCAAAGGTTTTAAAGCAACCGAGTTGTTTAAAAGGAGCATTTCCCCACAAATATAATTCAAATAAAACATGAAAATGTACCGGTGAGAACTTTTTAAAGAAAGTGAAGATTACACAATAAAAGAACATTTTAAATAAAACCATCTGCACTGCTGTCCATACCTTGGTACTCCTCCGGTTTGTTTTTGTTGGCTCCAAACACCTTGATGGTGGGGAAGCCCCTGACGCCGTACTGTCCTCCCAGTGACTTGTGCTGGTCAGCATCGACAGCGCCGACCTTGACGATACCCTGAACAAATGGACACGAACACAAAGATTCACAGCAATTAATGTTAAAATCAACACACGACTTCTAACAAAAAAATCGCTTTTTGCCGTCTGAAGGTCAAATGAGGACATTCCAAGTGGTTTTTTTTAGGATGTGTTCACACAAACTGCTTCATGTGAAAAATCATCAAGGGAAGAAAAGTGCACTGAACAAACGAGGTTCAGTTTTATTTGTACCATCAGCCTTACTATGAAATTATCTGTGCCTCAAAATTAAACTGTCCATACTGGTTTTACCACTTTGTAGTTACAAAACCAAGTCCCCCCCCCCCCCCCCCAGTTGTTATACAACTCTGTTAAGTTGACAATCTAACTTTGATTTCAGTATCGTGTGACCATTTCTACGGGGAAAAACGGTTAAGCATCTCATGGTTAAAGCATCCTTCTTACATTTCACAAGATCCCAGTAAGAACCAGGACACGTAAACTGTGAGGTTACTTGGCGACGGGTATCACATTGTGCTTTAAAAGTCAATTTAAAAAACAACTAAATAATCAGTTAATAAAAAATGTTTTGATACACTGCTTTGTTTAGAGACTGACAGCTGCTCGTCTTTTCATCAAATATACACTAAATGCTGCTCATAATCCAGCAGCACCAGTGACTACCGTACTTTTCGCTGTATAAGTTGCACCTTTTTGCATAAACTAGCATGCCCTGCGACTTATACAACAAAGTGACTTATTTATGTTTGTTCTCCATATTTATAACCCAATTTTTGGCTGAGATTTGACGATTTCATTCATTCTGACATGGAAAATATTGAACGCTACCATTTTCAGCCACTAGAGGGCCCTCGACGCATATGGCAAGACGTTTCTCATTTTTCGTCTCACTCCGGAACTCCTGGAGCAAACGTCAAATCAGCTGCATTTCGCCGCCCAGATGAAATGCAGCTGATTTGACCATTAAAGTGCATTTAGTATTTAAAAGTTCAACTGAGACACACCTTTGCTATAATGTCGAGCAAACAGATAATTGTTTTTAGGTGTTAATCTTGTTAAATTCTTGTGAAAGTTCTCCCGTGCATGCTCCTGTGGCAGCCAATTGATTTGTGACAACACCGGCCCACGTTTCCAGGTGGTCAGCGGTGACGCATAATAGATGCGACTTAAACGCCAAAGTGACATATTTATGTTTTTTCCACTTTATTAGACATTCTTGGACTGATGCGACTTATCCGGCGGAAAGTACGGACATTTTCTTTGACCATCATCATGCTGTGGCAAAAAAAAGTGAGCGTTCCAGTGTGGGTCATCTTTAGGTTAAAGATGAATTTGACCAATTTCAAGTTTTCCAAGCATGCAACATTTATTACTATTAATTAATAACCACCAATATACTGTGTGTGTATAGAGACAACCGTAGTGATCTCACGTGTTCTGTTTACCTTGAGGGCCGTGGCTGCTTTCTTCCACTCCGGAGCTAGACTTTGACAGTGACCGCACCTGCAAGATGACACAAACAAGAAAAAGATGCAAAAAGCGAGTATTAAGCCAAACTTACAATATCTAATGACAAAACAGTAAGTCTGTATATGGCTGCAATCCAGTTTTATTTGGTTTATTTTAAGCCTTTAGGAAATCTAAGGCAATGTGAAGCAATCGAGATTTTATGATCATTGAAGAACAAATGTAACTCTTTAGTGTCGTAATCAAAGCCTACAATTCCTTGAGAAACACACATCACCTGACGCTATTAGAGTTTTAAACTAAAAATCATCATGTGATAAGGAAGACAGTTATAACTTCTCGTGTGATCTGTTAGAGCTCACAGTAAGTCTCAGCTACTACTACACCAATTTTTGCTCCGCATCTGTAAGATGAACTGAGCTAGAGTCAGTTTTCTGTTGGCTGAAGTTGATTGTGGTGACCACCAATAGTCCAATGAGTGTTTCAGTAAAATACACCCACTGATTCATGAGATATTTAAACACATCAACCTCCAGACAAGTGCCTTAAATAATTTGAATGAACTGTTCTGGATATCCACTGAATATACAATAATGTCCTTGATATGGACTCACCATGGAGCATAAAACTCAACCAGCCACAGAGTGTCACTCTGGATCACCTCCCTGTTGAAGTTGGATGGTGTGAGCTCAATAACATCATCACTGGATGAATACATGGCTTGAACAGACAGGAGCAGAGAGCAGCCCAGCACTCCTGGAAAAAGACATCTTAAAGTGAGTTTCTCTGCAAAACATGACTACATCCAATTAAAGTAGTACATTAACCACAAAGAAGGCAGCTACAGTTTACTAATACGCATTTACGTTGATCTAGAAAGTAATAAGCTAAACAAACGTTTATTAATTCATTTAAATCATCATAATGGAGGCCTGTCCTTGTTGCACCAAAACTTAGCCATTCAAGCTAGCTACAAAAGCACGCAAACATACACGCGCTATAACCTCGTTCTAAATAATTATTAAATGTATGTAGAAAACACTTTCAGGACTAACTCACCGAGTAAAAGCGGTCCCATATTTTAACTTCTCCCTCGTCGCCTCCTGAGTACAAACAACACCTGCAGATTTGAACCGCGGCTGCTGCTGCGTCGCCCACAAAACTACACTGGAGAAAAAGAAGTCTCACCGTGGCCCGCGCTGATTGGTCCGCTGCTGTCGACGCCGAGGTTTCTGATTGGCTGTCTCCCGGCGACGCTGAGATGTAACCAATCGGCGTGCGCCGTGTAGTTCCGCAGATATGTGTTGAGAGTTGACGGGAAAAATGGAAGCAACACATTAAACTGTATGAAAAAGGCGTGTAAGATGTCATTCTAATGATTTTATGATGGTTTGTACAGGAAAGCAGAAAAGTGACTCGAAAATATATCATTCATTGGTGGAAGATGAACTTAAATGATTGTGCCTTAATAACAAATCTATATTCAATAAAGTACAAACACAAAACACATTTATTGCAACCCGGTTATCATCAAATATAACTTATTTTAACCAAATATATCTGATAGCACAACGATTTAGAAAACAAAAGCAAATATTTAGCAGCTAATTTGATGAAGAATATTATTTTGAAGTGTTTGAAGTGGGGTTTTTTGTTTTTATTCAATTCTCATCATGTCTTGACAAATGTTTTTTCTCTCTCTCTCTTTAAAACAAATACACAGTTTGCATCATTCACAATATGTGAATATCAGTTTAATTACCAGAGCCCGTTGAAAACATCTGTAGGTTCCCTTAAAAAAAATCACAAACTCTATAAAAATAGTGAAGCACAAATGTATAATGAGTGATAATAAAACAGGTGGAAAGTAATTTGTTCCTGAGGAGATGTCTCACCCAGGAAGTTACCAAAACATGGGATGATAAAACTGGAGATGAGCACTTAATTAATTTATTTATTTTGGTGAATCTTGGCACATTTCAAATACAAAGTTTCCCCTAAAAAGGGGGCCAAAAATTCAAACCTTTTTCAAACTAAGGGCCAGTTTCAGAATTTCCATTAATTTAAGTTAGAACATATTTTTTGGGGGGGTTGCAGGTTCCTCAGAAAGAGTTTGATTGGTCTCATTTGATGTTCTCTGTTGCACTTTTGACATCAGAATCAAATATTACTGAAAGTATTCAAGTGAAAAAAGTATTTTACTTTTAAAATAACATTTTGGGGGCCAGATAAGATGTCAACAAGGGCCACATTTGTCCCCTGGGCCTTGAGTAAGACATAAATGATTTAGAGACTTAAATACCAACAGTGGAATCCTAACAATAAATCAATGGAAAGACCAACAACTGTTTTTTTTTTTATATATAGTATAGTACCAATAAAGAAATATACTGCAGGAAAGTTTAGCAATACAATGAAAAAGATCCAATAAAGAAAGTTATAAGCTGAAAGATGTCAGCCTTTTTTATTTTTAAAAAAGAAACCCACATTAGTATTACTTTGTCTTAAAATAAAATGCATTTTTGTCCTAACTGCTGAAAACTTGAAACCATGAGAGTTGTAGTGCAATAAAAAACTTGACCACTAGATGGAGACAAAGTACAGCATGTATTTTTATACACTAAGCGCTCAAGACGTTATAATTTTTGTAACTTTACAAAATTGTTTAAAGTGATTTTTTTTCTAATATATCAAAACATAGACGTATATATAACAAATTGCTCACTTTCATACATAAATGTTAAACTTATATGAAATCCAGGTTTATCAAATAAAACATTTAAAATCCAATGTCTTGACACCAAATTCACGTTCCCACAAATTGAATCTGAGCCTCTTTCATATTAAAAGCCTCAGAGTGTTTGTCAGATTTTAACGTTGATGTTGACGATGGATTCAAAATAAATGGTGGATAATTTCCTCCTGATTTTTACTGACAGTGACAGGTTATCTACATGTTGTTTGGCCGCCTTCACGTTTCATGAGCGCCGCCTCCACAGACCAAACATCCCGCTGAGGTGGAAACCGGAAGTAAAGAGATAGCCTTAAAAAATAAAGGACAAAACAATCTTTACTTCCTGTTCCGTTATTCAATGGTTATTAGCATTTTGAGACAATAGCTAATTAGATCTATTAGCTGTTAGTTGTAGCAAGGTAACTCCACACAGTTTGATGCTATTTTATCCCATGTCCACATCTATAAAAGTTTAGTGAAATTTTTGATGAAAAATAAATTTTTAAATAAAGTTGCATTTGCTTGTGAAGTTACTTAAATCCATAACAGTAGTGAGGGGTCATTGGGATGCAGGATATTGAAAATAGTGTCTATTTTAAACATTTAATAAACATAAAAACCTGAAAAACATGATTTATTCTCTAGACTGGCATCACATGTTTCTAAAGGGCAAGAGGTGGGTAATAATGTTTTGACCATGACTGCCTTTTTATTTTATTTATTTAGCCTTTATTTATCCAGGTTAGTCTCATTGACTGCCTTGTGTCTGTTAGTAAAATATCTCGTGAACCACTGGACATATTTTAATTAAACCTACAAGAAATAATCAGAATGTATATCTACAAATGATGACATTTTTGGAGTAAACTTGATTTAAGATAGCTGCCATAGCTGTTTTTTGTTTCTAATTTTCCTTTTAATTATCCTTTTAATTACCAATTTATTTTCATTTGTTAAAAAATGTATGCATCCATTGTGAATGTGTATTGTCTATTGTTGTTGTTGTTGTTGTTGTCCACTGTTGTCATCACTCTTTGTTAAAATTCAGGTTTCTCTTGTAAATGAGTCCTCTTGGCTCAATTGGACTTACCTATTAAATACATGTTGAACATATATATATATATCCATCCATATATATATATATATA